TTGAGAAACTGGGTCCTGTTGTTTTGTGACATGGACACAATCCAAAACTTTATGACATTTCTCACCGATGGCCACTACAGATGTGTCTTTTGCGTTTTTACGCCATCCATGCCTAGCATCAGTTAAAATGTTAATTCCATCCAAATCTTCGTAACTTCCAATTTCTTCATGAAGAGCATCTTGCATGGATTCCTGATATTCGGTCTCAACAGAATTTTTATATTCTTCAAAAAATTGTTTCCTCCTGGCCCAGTTGATGCATCCTAATCCACTTCCATTTGAGAATCTTGTATAATGAGATGGTAGCATTCCACTACACATGAGACCATGACATATTCTGTGGTTGACTAAATATTCATCATTGGGTAGATATGGTGATGATGACCAGGAATAACTATGCATTTTGTCCTTGGAGCATTGGAGACGCAAAGAGATGACATGACCTTTCATAGTTTTCTTTGAAAATTTCAATTTTCCATCACAGGTTTTGGTATGAGCTTCACAAAGTTCACATATATTCAGAAGTGATGATTCTGCACAAACGAACATTTTCTGATTTACGTCCCTCTTCCTGACTTGAAGATATGTTGATGGAAATTGTGTCTGATCCGGCTCCACTCTTTGGTCCTCTGAGTGTTTTTTTAGCCAAAAGTCCAACAGTTCCTCAATAATAACAGCATTGTTTACAGGTGCATTGCGCTTGGAAGTGAGAAATGTTTTCACCTCTTGGAGTTTTCCTTGAATTTTAGTTTTAAATTCTCCATCACCTGGAATTTCAAGTCTAAAATTTGGTGGACGTTTCTTTGAGGATTCTACGTTTTTTGCCATGATTTTGAAAACAAGATTTTGATGGTTCAGAAAGTAATTGTTTTAGTATATATTGGTCAGTAACCCAAAACCATCCTTTATTGGTTATCATGGATTTTCTGGGAGGCCAGGGGGGGGGGTATTTATTGTTATAAAAGAGGAAAACATGTTACCTCATTATAAAACTACATGTATTATTGTTCGAATGTATTGATTTTTCCTTTTTTTAATTTCTCTTTACATTTTTTTTAATTAAAAAAAATAAAGTTGCCTTAATTTCTAAGGAAAAAAAAATTAACATAAACAGAATTCTCCTTAGTTTGGCCCTATTCACAAATTTGCAGTAACTAATAAACCATTCTCTTATCACCATCTAATCATGTGGGGAGGTCAGACTTCACACAGCTGCATCAATTAGTACCTACCTACATTGCATCAATTAGTATCTACACCGTAATCTTTAGACACCATTTTCCATCAGTGTGTTATTTTATTTTGTAAGCAAAATGGAAGAAAGACAGAGATTAATTTTGGATGTAAGTGAAATGCAGATGGAGGCCATAAAACATATTTTTCTGCATAGTGAATGGGATTTTCGCCCCATTGACACATCACAGGAAGAGGAAATTGGCGGGAAAACATGTGTAAGGTCAGAATGTGTAGACAAAGGTGTTCAGACAAATACAGAATTAGATACTGGACCCGATTGCTGTGGCAATGATGAAGAAGATAATGTCGAAGAAGAAAAATTTGTCATTCCTCAAGACAATAACAGAGACGAATGCCCATTCTGCCTCTGCAAACCCTGTATCACAGATGACAACAACAGGCAATTATGGTGGGAAGTGGAACCATTCAGACTGCCCCACCCCAGGAAGTCTAAATTACGAAAGGAGAAATATAAAAGATTTTGGACAATGCTTTTACATCGTGGAGTATGGAGTGATCCCCGATATGTTGTGAAAAAAATGCGAGCTTTGGACATTTTCAGCTGGGACAGGAATGGCACAGACGTGACATAATGCCAACATGTGTAGTGAACATTGTGAGAACATGGCTACCAAATCCAAAAGATGTACAATACATGGGTCATTTGTGGGAATATTTTTTTTTCTTATCTGACAGTCAATCGTGTCTTCTCTTTTATTTCTTTTTGTTTGTATATAGATAGGCTAGGAATATATTTGACTCGGTATTTATTTTGTACAGCTATTGTGAGGATTTTATAATATTCTAATTTCAATACAGATGTGAAAAAAAATTTAAATCATGGATTTTATTTTTGGAGGTTGGATTTATCTAGAGATGAAAGTAAGTCAAATACTGCAGCATTCTGTTTTCCTACAATGTCTGCATGAGATGTAGACAACTTCCGGTGCGGTGTAAACAATAACAAACTAAACCACACCCACTGCTGTCAGTTTTGAATTTCAAATAGAAATAGAACCCCTGCTTCAATTATTTCAATGAAAAATACAGCTTAGAAAAAAATTTCCAGTAAATTTAATTTGTGACCAAAGATGCACATTAGTGAGAAGAGTTAGCCTGACAAAAATCTGGTGATAAAAGAGACTCAGTATTTTAATATTTGTAAATAAGTCTCTGCAATCTGAATGTGGCCAGAAAAATCAAATATACCACCATTTTTCTCATTGGCTGCTATTTATACTCCGATGTCCTCCTTTAAGGTTAGGGTTATACGCGTCCATAACTGATCAAATTTCATCATTTACAACCTTCATTTTAGATCTGTTTGTTTAATAAAAAATCAGTTAGGTCATTTAAAATATAAAACATTACTTGAAAAATGCTGACCCGGGATCAAGAAACATCTTTTGCCTAAGTAGATCAAAATCTCTATTTTATAATAAAATGTTGTAAAAGTCAAGCAGACCAGAAGGGTTAGGGATATTTTTAACATTGTTTTACAGAGATGTAGTTATGTGCGAATGAAGAAATAAATTCCATAATTAATAAATATTTTATCGGCGATTAAAAATTTCACATTAGCCTTATTTTGTTTCATAATCCTGGAGCCAGGAGATTCAATTTAAAGTTCTTTGTACATTAATTATCATATATAATATTGATTACGCATGCAAGGTCTCTTGAAGATATATTATCGAACGAAAGAAATTACATAACATATAAGTTCTTCCTGCATTATGAATTTAAGCAAACCACGCCAGACAAGCTTTTTTAGGAAAGCTAATACTTGTATGAGTATTAGTTCGTAATCCGTGGCTCTCCAGTACATCTTTGAAGCGAGTCCTTTCCCTTTGTTCGTCTTCTCTGACCATGTTTACAATCCAGTAGCCTTTTTCACAAAAATTCTTACGACTAAGATTAAAATTTGACAGTTCTGATATCTTTTTGATTACTAAAGAAAATTATCATTTCAGACGAATAATTTACAGTTTGCTGTAATGTAATAGAAATACGATATTTTTTTTTAGACTGGTATTGCCTGTATATCGGATATCAGACAGGCAGGCCAGTCTGATCTATTTTTTTGTAACCTACTACAATTTAGGTACATATAGAAGAATTGGGAAAAAAACAATCTAAGTCGTAAGTTTTTTTTTACGAAAAAGGGCTACTGGGTCCTGCCTTTTTAGCATTGTAATGCAAACCACTATAGGATGCTGCCGGGCAGTTAAGGGTCAGAAACACTTCCTGTAGTGAAGTTCTCATAACGGTGTCAATCACGGCTGTACATAGGGTAATGGTTGGTTTAGCTGCATAAGGTCCTCTAATGTCAGTTTCTATCTCCACATACAGCTTCATGCTCTCGGTGCGGAATTGACAGGTCTCCTTCCTGTGTTCTAAAAATGTGTTCAGGAAAGCATTCAGCTCAGGTGAGCTGATAAAAGGTTATGTTGAGACCACGAGCCAATATTAGAACGAGCTCACAATTGTGAGGAAAGAAGCTAATTATTAAGTCGTACTTTAAATATTCTGAAAAATTCATGAAAATAAGAAATATATTATAGTCTGTCCCACGGTGCCAAGGACCTCACTTTTCGCTTCATATCTCAAAATGTATAAATATCTTGGCTTCCAACCCAGGTCCGATCGATAGATCATTTTTTTTCCAAACTTCCCCCATTTATCCGAACCCTCGAAGTCAACCAGTGTATACACACGGCGGCAAATTCAAAGTCTACGGGGATTTAACATGGTAAACTCGTCCACTAACGTCTAGGTTACGGGGCCGGGAACCAGTTTTCGAAGAGAGAACAGGGCTGATGCACTACTAGGTATATGATATAGGCGAATTAGGAATATACATCTTGATGCTTTGTGTTTTAGGAAATTGTCAATGAATAATCATACTTTCAAAATTTTCAAAAAAAAATTGTTGAAAACCAAACTCAAGACATCTGCATTATTTCATACCTTATAAAATATATCTGCGGGTACTTAAGACTTAAGGTAATATATGTAATGTACACACTCATGTTAATTTGTGCTTTTCTATCTTGTGTCTTCACCAGGTAGTTATTCAGTATCCATAAAATTTTTGTTCTGAAAACTCATAAAATGTAATCTGTTAAATTGTTTTAGGGAAAAATCTTATATTAAAAAAATCCAATATCCTTCACACTTGCGTTATGTACTTTAATTTTGTGTGTATAGGAATATTTTAATTTTTGGTATTCTGTTATATTTATTGGAAACAAAAATGCAAATCCTGGGTCTGAATTTACCTAAAACTGATATTGTAGGAAGTTTTGGAAGGGCAAGGTCAAAATTAAATGGTGACGTAGTTTGATGCAGACAACAAATGTTGTCTTGCAGTGGTATTTAAAATAAAATATCAACCAAAATGATCAACGAAGGTAACACTGAAGACATTTAAACATGTGGAAGCAAATCACAAGTAATTGTTTTGTCAACCACGTCCCCTACTTTCAAAAACATGAAGTATTCCCACACTTTTCATTTGGTGATAACTCTAGTCAATAACTATATTTATTTAAGCAATGAATCATTATTTTGAGTGATATAATTTCATAACTGCAACAGTGTGTGCAAATAAATTGAATAACGCGCGTTATTATGATGAAATGACCAATACACAGATATGTTTTGTTTAGAGAGTTTTAAGGTTATGTATAAGTAACGTCGTATAAGAGAGAACTGAATAATGATGAGTTTAAAAAAAATTCAATCAGAAATATGATCATGTTTGCACGGTTGTCATTTTCTGCGATGTGTTAATAAATGTAATTTAATAATATATTATTTTTGTACTTATGCTGTGAAATGTATCTAAAACTTTATAATTGTCACTACTGAATATTTTCCGCTTTTTAGACAGCGCTTCATTATATATATTGGTGGGAAATGCAAAACTAAAAAGTAAGAAAAAAGTTTTTTATTTGGAAAATGTCGAATTTTTTTCGACCATGGATGGAGGCACGACCGTCTGCACCTGTGCAAGCACGTGTAATGTTGCAATTGAATAACAACAGGCAGGTACGTACGCATTTTTTCTTTCATCGGTGATCCTGTGATTAAAGGCGCCTATTGAGAATACTTCAAATGTTAATAATTTGAGGTAAAAGTGAATTCGAAAAATTCACATGAATGTATATATATTTGACAAATGCACATTTTTAAAAACTCAGTAATAGAGTGTTGGATTGAAGCTTTACTGTGTGTGTGTGTGTTTGTTTTTTTTTGGTTTGAGTGTTTGTTTGTTTGTGTTTGTTTTTGTTTTTTTTATAAGGTAAAATGATTTATTATTCATTGAACACATTTTCTTGCAAATATTAATAGGACCACTATGATACGGAAAATACATGCAAGAACAAGACACCACGTAAAGGAAAAGGATTTTTTGAGCTGAAGCATTCACAAAGGGCAGAAAGAAAAAGAAAATACCAAAGTGCTTTTCGGGATGCTTCAAGTCTTGTCCACTCTGATGTTTCATCCATCAAAGTTCAGCTTAATTTCAATAATGGACAAGTTTTATCCTTTTTTCCTCGCAAAGTGTCCCCTCATGAAAATGGTACTTTGGAAAATGAAGGTTTAAAGAATGCTAAAGACCTTGATGTAATTCAAAAAGTGATAGCGGTCAAGGACAAGTTCAGAATTTCTGATGAAGCTTTACACGAATTACACATGATTGGTTCAATTATTCCAAGCAAGTCAGCCATCAATGAAGAAAAAATCCGTCTCAACACAACTCTGGAGATAATGAGCCATCCCTCGGTAAGTCCATGCACTGCATTTAAATGTGTTAATCACTTTCAGTATTTTTATTGCATCATTTTAATATCAATTTTATGAAACACTTCATAGCATAGACCATTTACTTTTATTTAAAAAAATATTTTCTTAACATAGGCAGACTGCAGTTCTAGAAAGTTAGAGCACATTCTAGAGTTTGTTCTGCAACACCAAAAATACCAGAGGTACATTGAGAATGCTACTGTTACCCTGCGTTTTTCATGTGACGGTGCTAAAATTGCAAAAAATATCTCCTCTGTAAGAGGGGTGTTCAAGATTTTAGCACCAAGACAGCCATTGCCAGATAGTCTTCAAGATTTGAGCATGTGCCCAGAGGATGAATTTACACTTTTCTTTTACATTGGTAAGAGATAATATAGTTTATTGAAATTTTCTGTAATGGTTTTGTATTTTGGAAATTTTCATTTGAATAAGCACCTGTTCGTTTGAATTCAGGAGAAGAAAATCGATGCAGTATAGAGGAGTTTGCCTCAGGGACATTTAGAGACATGGAAAAAATTCAATTAAATGGAATTGTCATCAATGGAAGAAAAATTTCAGTAAAATGGTAAGGTTAATTGAGTATCTTATCATATATCTTGTTTCTTTTTCATTCGTACTCTTGTGTTATATCATCTTAAATTCAAAACTGGTATTTTGTAGGATAATGACTTGTGACTGGAAGGCACTTGCCTTACTTAGGGGTATTAATGGTGCTCATTGTGACTTTTTCTGTATGTGGTGTCACTGCTCCAAAAAGCAGATATGTGACTTCAGTAGTAAGTAACTCGTGCAAATTGAGAAAATGATACAAATATATTTGTAAAAGAGTGAATATTTGTCAAGTACAGTGATTTTATAATCTATTTTGTAGTTCCATCATGGTCAATACAGAGATCAAAAGAAGAACAACAAACTCTTCTAGACTCTGATAAGAAAGCATATGGATACAAAGACAAAGATCTCTGCCCATTTATTGCATACAGTGACATGCCGATTGATGATCTTCATTTGCGGATAAGGATATCTCTTAAGCTCTTCAATCAGGTACATTGTGTTTAATTAGTATACATGTATGCATACTTTTTAACTGTCTTGCTAACTACCTGCATAAAAATGTAATCCTTGCTTGATTTTGAATTCAGCTTGTAACTTGGGCAATAGACCAGAAATCTGAAGAAAATTTGAAAAGGGAGCTGAAACGTGTAGGCGTCAGTTTCAGAATGTGGGAAGAAAAGGGTGATGATAAATTGAACACCAAAGTGAGGAAATGGTCTCAGCCAACAGGTAAGCCTTTCCTTAAAAAAATTGACACCAAATATTTACATTTATTGTATGTAATCTTTAAAAGATACTAGTATTTACCATTTCATTTGTAGGTGATGATTTGCGAAAAATTATCAAGGACGTTCAAATTCACCATATTCTGGACAATAAAAAGGATAGGCATTATGTATCTATAGAAAGCCTCTCAGTAAATCAGCTGAAAGATGAGCTTAACAACAGACACCTTTCCAAAAAAGGAAAAAAGCCTGCACTTGTAGCACGACTGAAAGATGCTGTCGGAAATAACACTAAGGTATATTTAAAGGAAACTCAAACTCACTAAATAACAATTATTTATATTTCCTGAATGTTTACAGAGTAAAATAAAACTGTTCATTTATATTTTTATAGCTGAAGAGGAATGTAGGCTCTCGTCTGCAGGTATCATATGATTTATCTGAAGATGAGGAACAGGACCTGAATGTGGAAGCCCTGCAAGATCTCTGGTCTGAATTCCATGAGCTCATGGAAAGTCTCCGGGCATTACCTGGAACAGACAATTACAAGGATGTTAATACTTTTTCAAAAGAAGCAAAAGAATGGGCTACTGAATTTAGAAAGCAAACTGTTGATGAAGATGTAATCCCATACATTCATGGTATGTATAAATGTGAACGATTCTATAAAACTGATGCATGAGGATTCATACACTGGTTTAGCCCACCACTGTTCCTTTCAGGACATAAAAGTGACATGTTTTTTTTAAATTACATTTTCAGCTATGGTTTATCATGTACCACAGTTTCTGCAAAAATTCCATTACTTGCATGATATTGGGGTTGCTCAAGTTGAACGTAAAAATTTTGATCATCGCCAAGCATACTTTGGGAGCACTAACAGAAATGGGTCCAAAAGGAAGAAACATGTCTCAAAGCAGGTACATACCTAAACTGAGATCATAGTAAATCTGCATGGTTTGCTTCATGAGTTCTTATGTCTTCTGCAATACAAGAGGAAAATACATTAGAGGCCCTTTATGTTATGAATAAATATGTATTTCAGTTCTTAGCATAATAATCAGTATCTTTTATTACAGATTCTTGAAAGGGAAAATAGAATGCTATGGTCCAGTCTGTATGGAACTGTACGTGAAAAACGGAAATATGTTAAGTCTGCAGCAGAAGGGGAGTGAGTCAAATTGCAAAAAAAGCAAGAAATGTTATTTTTTAGGATTACCGTCGTTTAGCTACAGTCCCAGTAACCATGTTTCTTCGAGACCTCGTAAAGGTTTCATGAATCCATGATGGTCCACGAACATAAAGTACGACGGGGTCACATAACTCTGGTCGGTTCTCTTCAGCATCTTTCCAGTTGCATCTAAACAAATATTATTATTATAAAGCACAATTTTATTATTACCATGCAATATTTGTTTACAAATCCACAATGCTGAACAAATTTTGGATTTCTATGAATAGAATTGTTATTCCTGTGTAAAATAATATTGTGTAGTCACACTTTTAGTAGAACTGTTGTTATTGTTGTTGATATTATTATCATGATTATATACACAAACATAAGATTAAATATGATGATACCTTTTACAAGTATTGTGTTCGTATTGTTTTCTCTCCTTAAATCCCCACCAGACATGAACATATTCTCTGAAGGAGACGAAGGTTTCTGTTGATGTTTTGTAACATCGACTTGACCAGTTCTCTCCAATGGCACAAGTCATTTCTTCACCTGTAAAAATAAATACTCATTATTGTATAATTCTAATTCACTTTATTGACAATACAGTCATGAACATTCATAACATAAAACTAATTAACATGATTAATACAAGTATATACAAAGTGACAAACGTGAGGTAAATAAAATTTAAAATACTGTAGAGTATATTCAAATATTTCTAAGTATTCATTGCTGACTTTTTTTTTCTGGTGGCAAAGCACTTTGACACCAGAAAAAAATTATACATAGTAGTTACAAGCAATGAACATGTTTGTACATACCAACAATCTTTAAAGACCCCCCCCCCCTCCACGCAGCTGTGCCTAATGGAACCCCAGTTGAAATAGACTTTATCCACCTATAGTAGTGAATTTCATGAAAACAATAGTTCTACTAAAGATATTTTATTACCTGTAAGGTAGAAATCGACATTCCCATTGTCTGCTGGCAGATCCAAATCCTTCAAAGATCTGAAGTATGTACTAAAACTAGTACTAGAGAATGGCACTTTCACAGTCGTCCTCGCTTGAACACCTAATGCACCATCAGGTGTACGACGGGCATCCCCTAAACTGTCGAATATGGCCTGTCGCAGTGCCATAACGTCATCAGGAAGGTCCATACACTCTACTTTATTAGCATCTAAATTCCTGCTGTGGAGTTGACACGAGAGAGGGTTTCCTTTATTTCTCTCAATAAATTGCTGCAACTCCTGGTTTTCGTCCAAACTCACCCAGGTCGATGGTCCCTCCCAGTCCTTCCATTTCACCAGTACCTCTTGCTCTTTTCTCTCCAAAATGTCCTCAACCTCCCATAGTTTCTGAGATAAATGTTTACAGTCATTAAAACACAGCTAATTAATTAATTCTATCATTGTTATTTATTTTAAGATAATGCAAATGTTTTTTCCATGTTGAATAATTTTGAAGTGTGTATTCATCGTTATCTAAGGTTCGATACAGAGCGGCGCTTGATTCGCCTAGCTTGATCCGCCTACACTCTTTAAATATCATATAAATGTATATACAAGCATGACGGTCTCAAGTACTCACACGGAAAGGTTGATGGGGAATAATTGAAATAATTTTTTTAGACGGTTGGGTGTACGTATTGTGTATTTTCACATCAGGGACGTATAATTATATTGAAATACACGTGTATTCTAAAATATAAATGTTACAGAATTAAAAGTTACTAAAGTTTAAATATAAATATATAAAATATCTGTGAAATAAATTTACCGTACCTCTTCCAATTTTTTGTCCTTTAGCTCCCTGAGGTTAAAATTTTCCTCCCAATCTCCGTATCTTACAGGGGCCTGTCTTCTTCTTTGTGCCATTTCTTAGATAAGCAGACAGGGAGCTCGATTTCACTTATTCAGTTCATCGCCGTGGTAACACAGACCGCCTGGGATGCGGTCACTAATTTATAACGGGATTGATAAACCGGAGTTTTAGAGCAGAATTTCTTGGCATGACAGGCTATCTACAAATCCTGTGGGGAAAAAATAAAAAAGATCTCTTAGAAAATCTTTTGATCACTGACAATGCTGTAATCCTGAATAAACACGATTAAATAAATCTTTTAAGAGTTATAACTAACTTTTCAAAAATACATAATTATGTAGATCATTAACGGCCAAGGGGAACATCTCTATTTATTAAGTTGTTGAACGGCACTTCACGATATATTTATTATTTATCAGTTCATATGAATTCATAGATATGAAATTGGTCGTTGTTTTAAAACCATTGGTAGAAAATTGTTTCCTTATTTTGTAAATTAAATAAGAATATAAATTAGGTACTACCGTAAAATATAATCGACAGCATTCAAGAGATGTCACGTCATTGCTGATGTCTACATTTAAAACGTTTCCATCGACTTATAAGTTCCGAAGTAGTCAGTCGAGATCATTTCGTCATGGAAAGCTTAGATAAGTGATTGATTTTTCTAATTTGTTGTTATTTCCTTAAAGAATGCGAAAAATCATGATGCGACAACATTGATTTCATTACAGGAAGTCTGTTTCTATACATCCCGGTGAGGGCGCTGCAAGCGCAAGAAGTTAGTGATTGTGACGTCATAAGTCGGCGGTCCCTTCGTTTTAGGTCTATGGTTTTATTTTCCTTTTTTTCTTCTATACTCATTGGATATGATTATTGATGTGTAAAAAACAACTCAGGAAGCTCACCAGAATTTTTTTTTTCAGAGGTGTGTCTAACATTTGAAATTCTCGTTCATAATACACACTCTTCTCATATTTCAAATATCAAAGAAATACGTGACTAGCACAATTAAAACAAATATGTTAATTTAAACAAAAAAAAATTTTTTTTTTTCTTTCCTATTTAGTGTGGTTGTTTTTATATATATAAATATAAAAAAAAAATTTAAAAAGCCAAAAAATAAAAAGAAAGGTGTATTTGTATCTTATAAAATGGTGCAAATGAGAAATCAGAAAAACTCCTGATGATATTATTGAAACTGGTCGAGTTTTAAGCGACGTTCTGTTATTTTTCACTATATAAATATATATATTAATCATGACAGATTAGATGACATTTGCACCATCTTGCAATTGTAAGATACAAATATGCATTTCTTTTATTTTTGGACTTTCCTTGTTTTCCGGCTTTTTTTTATCATACACCAAGTTTCTAAAGGCTTGCAAAACCTTCCTTACTTGTGTGATAAAAGTATTCTTTTACAATTCTCTTAACATTTCATTTCAATGAACAGACGTATCACCTTTCCTTGGTGTTTTTCTATTTGACCTCGTCTTACTCGAGTGTATCACTCGATAATACCATATGCAATTTCTATCATTTCAACTTCTGATTACATCTTTAAATTTTACTACATTAGGATTTTCATTTTCTCTTTCTTTTTTAAACTCTTAAAAATCATTAATATTACACAATTTGTTCTCCCACTTTTTTTTTCAAATCCTTTTGAAATAAAAAAAAAAAAAGAAATTGTTTTTTTTTTACATTTTGGATTCGGTCTTTATTTTTTTTTTTTATTTATTTTCAATTTTTACAAATCAGGTTTTTTTTCGATATTTCGTGTTCTTCCCTCTCCTTCCTCTCCCTCTCCTTCTTGTCCTTTTCAGCCTGCAGACGTGTGTAGGGACGATTCAACTCCAGTTCATCTGATAGCGAGCATAGTCCCTGCCCAGTTGGGAAACCGGTGCGGTGGCCAGGTATGCTAACAAACTCTTCCAGTATCTCTGGTGTCATCCTGGTCCCGCTCCTGCCCTCCCTCCTTACCGGCGGCTGACACGCAAGGTGCCGACATCTAAGAACTGATCTGATCACCCAGGTTACAACCAGGGTGATCAGAATCAGCAAAGTCGTAACCGTGACCCCCAACAGATCATTAACTGAAATATATGCATACAGTTTTTAAAAATCTTAATTGGTTTTGCTTTATTCGTTTCTTTCTCTTTTTTAAAATAATTTTCATATCAATCACATTAATCGTTTAAGGAACAAACATTTTTCTTTTTTAATTTTAAATTATTTTTTTATTTCATTAATACAACGCTGTATAAATTTGTGATTATTTCTTACTTTGTATTTTCATTTCATTTACAAGCAATAAAAAAAATTACTTACTTGATTTTTTTTACATGAAATCAATTAACATGCAAACATGCACTATGAGAAAAAACACAAAATCATAAATAAAAAAAAAAAAACAATTCAGATTTTCTAGAAAGGAAGTTTTTTTTCTCATAAATAAATTGATAAACCTTAAACATTTAATTATTCGTAATCAATAATTAAAAAGTAATTAACATTCCAATTTTTATTTCTGAATCAGTCTTTTTTTTTTCTCACTCTTAGAATCTGCCATCTTTAAATATATTTTTCTTTAAAGAAAAACATAATCTGAAAAGAATTCTTTCACTATACACTGTATTTAAAATTTCATTCAAATTTCGTTTTGGGTCATTTCATATTCCACATTGTCATCTTCACCATCATTGTCCTCCGTAGACGACAGCGATGTGAATTGTTGAGTGTTCTTAGTTCTTTTTATTTTTCTACATGCATACAAAGCTATACTAAGTATAGGTATGAGTAATAATATATACAGATAATTCAATTCATGCTCAGTACCCGTTACAGTTGTTCCCTGGTTTGTCGAGTCTGTTACGTAGTTGTCGTCACTTGTGGTCAAAATATCTGAGTGATGAAGGGGGGTGGTGTGGCTTTTCCGAGTGATTTCCTTTTTATTTTGTAGCTTAGTCGATAAGTCAAGAGAATGGAATGAAATGTAGAACATGGATGTGCTGGTAGTAAAAGTTTCTTGCTCAGGAGTGTATGTAGTGGGGGTAACAGTATTTTCAGTTGTTGGGTTGTTTCTAAATGTATTGAGAGATGTTAAATTCAGCACATTATTCCTTTAATAACCAATTATTTTATTTCACGTTACTTGTTCTTTAAAAAAAAAGTCTTATTATATATTTGTATTTATAGCAACATGGAGGATTCCCTCCAGACGCTTTTAAACAATAATTTAGGGTGAGAATTTTTCCTCAGTATTTTAATTTCTTTAATATATAGTAAATTTTATCATATTAAGTCTGAGTTTTATCGGCATGTACGAGGGCCGTTCAAAAATTACGCGGACTTGTTGCACAGAAGAAATATTTGACGACATAATCGGGCAAAATTTCACAAATAATATAAAAGAATCTTTACTTATATGGTCTCCAAAATTTCATATCAAAATTTTGTAAATTGGTATTAATTTTGAGTGATTTTTCAGGACATACCTTTAAGTCACGGCGCAGCAAAATCTTCGACGTCACAAGCATTATAAAAAAAATATGTGATTGAGCTTTCATTTTCTCAACATTTTCCCTTGAGTACCTGTATAGTTTGAGTTACTTATCTACTCAACATCAAAATATTACTTCTTGTCAAGCTTAAAATCTATTAAACAAGTATAGAATATACTTTTTTGTGTTTTAAAACCAAAAACTGCTTTTGAGATATAGTGTTATATTGGTGACTCTCAATCACGTTCTTTACAGTCCGGATAAAGTTAACTTTTCGTCTATTATCTTCTTCCCGTCCTCCCGTATAGCCTTTTTACAGAGGTCTAACTGTCTAAAATTTCAATTTGCTATTTGTGGGCGAATGTCACGAGTAGCCTAGTTTACTACATGTTTTATTATGCTTATTTTGGATCTATGTTGCCGATATGTCGAGCATTTTACATATTTTAACAAAAAGTGTGGTGCGCCGTCAATTCAGGAGACGTCATTTTCACAGTCGTTTTCACGGGAATCGCATCAGAGAAAAATCCCTATATTTCTGTTAGTATTTCAAATATTACGTCCGAAATCTAAATACATAATAATAGAACAATTTAAAGGTACATTTGAGAAAATTGTTGCAAAATATCGCGAATTTTCGAAAATCAATGATTTCACACAGTCAGGGGTTGCAAACATTATACATTTTGAGCATGTGAAAATCAATTGATTTTATTTAAAAAAAAAAAACTGTTAAATTCATGTCAATGTTTGTGTTATAGCGAACTTCTAGAATACTACCATTCCATAGCGAATATTGGGAATTCGACTGAAGTTCCTTATAAGACGAACTTTGATATGAAGTATCAGAATGGAATTAGCGTTTGTTTGTTTGTTTGTATGAAGATCACTCATTTATTCGCATAAATTCGCATGCACACTTCAATTCTCTCATCAATTTGTGATTCAAACAATTGTAATGATCAATTGTAGGTGTTTCTAAACTCAGAAGTCTTACTGTGGATTTAACAATTTCACCGTAAAAATCATTTCTGATACATTAAAGAAAAAAGCGCTATAGTTAAAATTTAAATACCCTTGACGTAACATCTCCATTATTGTTCTCTTGCCATTGTTAGGGGGTGGTATAAATCCTCGTCATGTCATTTAACACCTCTCCTCATTTTCAGTGTAACTAAATCTCGGTCAGGGTCATATCATAAACTAGAACTCGATCAAGGTCACTTCATTGATCTCTTTCCCCATTATCCCCCATTGTTCTCCTATTGTTCTCCAACACAATAGACCCCCATTGTTAGGAGGGGGGGGGGGGTAAACGTCCGCCTACACTACTAATAAGAATTCAGAATTTCTTATTAAGTATAACAAATTCTTAGACTGTATGGCATTCAAACTTCTAACAATTCTTAAAATTTAGAATTTGAAGAAAAGACAAGTACAACAGAAAAAAAGAACGGTTTCAAGTATACTTATGAGCCGTTCCAAGCAAAAACCCCCCTTATGTAATCTGACAAAATTTTACGTCACAATAGAAAAAGCGACGTCATTGTTTTGCAACGAAAAATGCGATCAAAATATATCGCGCACTGACTGCGTTCCAACTAAATGCTTTGTTTTACGTCACAGAATTTTCTCCGTTATACT